TTATGTGTTTTTTCACGTGAAGATCACTAATTGAGACTTTCATAAAAATTAAAACAAAAATATAGGGGAGAGAGAGAGAGAGAGAGAGAGAGAGAGAGAGAAATATTTACATAAAGATGAAGTTATATTTTTACCGCACATTCACTACAATATGCATATTATTTGTGTTAAATTATGTGAAAAGCAAAAGCGATTGAACCAAAAATTGACAGACATTTAGTGGGAATGAAATAAATATTTATTTAAGCAAATGATCTAAAAATAAATATTTAAATATCTGTTAAATAAAGTATTCATTTATATACTGAATATGTCTTTCTTGTGTTCAATAATCAAAGCCAATGAAAACAATGGGAAAACTCTTTTGATAATCACATTATTTAATGCAAATTCAGTGCAAATTTCTAAACCAATACCGAAACTAATTGCTAGAAAACAAATTATTTAATAAATGTTGTGCATTTTGCATTTTGTCTCCCACTCTACTCTACAGTCGCATCCGTTTATCATAAGAGACGGCAATCAATACGAGGGATACGTAATCGATGTGTTGAATGCAATGAGAAATATCTCGGATTTAAACTATTATTTAACGGATTCGAAGGACTCAACCACTTATAGCCGTGAAATGGATCCCATGTTTCATCTAATTCGTGAGCTCTGGAGTAATGTATGTCTGCTTTCAGATCAATATTTGTATACATTTATGAACTCATCGGGATTACATTCTCACATTTCACCAATCACAATTTGATCAATATTAGCATTTTATATATTCAGGATATTTAAAGAGTTTTACTTTCAGTTCATATGTTTGCATAAAATACCAAATTCAGGATATCTTATAATATAAGATATCCTAATATTATTAGCTAGTATACCTAGGTATAATTTTGTTAGTTTTTAATTAGTTAACACGTAATCTCTATGATATGTTATACATGTAAATGCGGCGCTACTGTAGATATTAATAGCATTATATAATGTTGCCTAAAATAGCCTACAATACATGTTACATGTACAAGTTACAATTCATTATTTAATTTGATTGCAATTTATTCAGTTATGTGTTTTTTCACGTGAAGATCACTAATTGAGACTTTCATAAAAATTAAAACAAAAATATAGGGGAGAGAGAGAGAGAGAGAGAGTTTTAGTATTTAATTATTGAACAATATAATAGTCGTCTGAATATAATTATCATTCAAAATAAGACTTCATTGAAATGAATCCTTATTTTATTTAATTAGAAAATAGTCCGTAAATTAATATTAATATATAATTTAATAAATATTTAATTTGTAAATTAAAATTTCAAAAAATTGAAAAGCGTGTCAACATTCAAAAATCTAAAAAACAATGATTAATCTACAGTTTGTTATTCATACACATGTATTACAGCAACTATGTTAAAAGCAAAATGAATAATGTGTTTATAAAAATAGAGAAAAAAATGTTACATAAAAATTAAAATAAAATGATAAAAGTATTTTTGGGACTAATTTGTGATCTTTTCATTGCTTATATGACACGATATAATGGATGGCAAAGAGCGCCGACTTCGGGGTCTCAAACATCACAATCACTAAAGAGAGGCAACAATGGGTAGACTTCACGGATCCGTTGCTTAACTATAGTGTCAGCGCTTTGATACACAAATCGCACGCAAAACACATCAAGACATTCAACCAATTGGCAGATCAGACGCCAATCACTTACGGGTCGCTAAGGAATGGGTCGACAATGAAACTGTTTGACACGTCCGACGAGATGGTCATCCGTCGGATGTACGCCCTTATGAACAGCGCTGGTGTGCCGGTGGACGACCTCCGGGAGGCCGTGCGTCGGGTCCGACACGAGCGGTACGCCTACATCGACGACACGATGACCGTCCAGACGCTGGCCAGAGGTAACTGCGATCTGACGGTCATTGCCGACAATCGGCCACATTTTCAGCGCCGAATTGCCATCGCTTTGCCTAAAGGCTCAAACAATTTACCCATTTTTAATCGTGTGATCAAACAATTGACCGAAAGAGACATTATCCCTGAAATTGCCCAAAAGTATTGGGGAGTTGTCTGCGTTCACGGCAAGAGTTATGCCTCAACACCAAACACGTGGTTAATTCAATTGATATGTGTAGTGATGTTCGCAAAGTATTTGTTATTTAAATAAATCAAAATTAAATTAAATAATACTAATTTAATATATGAAACAAATCAACAATTTATACGTTAATTCAATTATAGTTTGCATTTAATAACGAGACTTCTCTCAAGTGTCTCTAATTATTGTTAATTCATTGTTAAAAACATCAAACATTTGCTAAATTTATTAAAATATTGTAATGCATTATTAAATTCACCCACATGATAATTATTTGTTATACAATAGTATATATTAATTAATTTATACGCTGTTTAAAGCATTTTGAATGACATTTATATTGTAATACTAAATATGGGAAATCAATTTGTGAATCAATAGTTATTTCGTACCACAAATAAGTTATTTATAAATATTTATGAAATGCATTAGTATTGGTATTAATTCACTATTAGAGCTAAATTTATGCCATTTGTATATATAATAATTAAAGGATACAAAACCATTGTTAAAACAATACGCTATTTGTATAGTAATTGCCATTTAATGTGGAGTTTCTGTTGGCAAACAAAACCACAATTTTATATATCAGACGAAAACAATAAAAGACATGAAAATAAATTCTTCTCTCGCTTTCAATCCATTTATGCTCTGATTTATAGCAAAGTTTTAAAACATTGTTTCTCTTATATAATGTTTATTTTGGTTATTTGTATGGAAAAACACAAATGCTTTTGGCCTAAAAAGCACACAAAAGTGTTTTATGTTTTATTGAAAATGCTCAATCACTTTGTTTCTCATCTCTCTCTCTCCCCTATATTTTTGTTTTAATTTTTATGAAAGTCTCAATTAGTGATCTTCACGTGAAAAAACACATAACTGAATAAATTGCAATCAAATTAAATAATGAATTGTAACTTGTACATG